GCCCCAACCCGCGGCTCCTCCGCGGCCGCGTCTCCTGCTCGGGCCCGTGGCGTGCGCTGCCCCTCTGCGGGCACGGCGGGGTGCTGCGGGGCACCTGGGGGTGGGGGGACCGGGGAAGGGGTGCTGCCGGCGGGGGTCGGCCTGCTTATGAATTTCAGAACCGATATTTGGCCACGCATACTTTATTTTTATAATCATGAAAAATCCCGTGGCTGACCTCTGACGCTGAGAGTATTTTCGCTTCAAGAAAAGAAGCAGTCCGCCCTAGCTGCTCCCTGCCCCTGGGCCTCACCAGGTGCACGACCCTCTCTCTCCCTGGAACTTGGCTCCCTCCTTGTCAAACAGAGAGCGGGATGAAGCTCACAGCGTAAGTTTGTTGCAAAGACTAAACTCTAAGTGTGCTTCCGGAAATGCCTAGCAGACACCTGGGGGGCAAAGTGGAATCGTGACCAAGGACAGGTATCCTCGCTCTCATCACCGTGAGCATCTAACCCCCAAGGTAACCCAAGGTGGTAGTCCCTCAGGCTGGCTTGTCCATCCTGACACACTGCGAACGCAAGCCTCAGGTTTCATGGTGTCCCTTGTCCCTTGCAGTACAAGAAGCTTATACAGAGTTGGTGGATACTGCCTGGTGCGCACCCTCCATGGGCTCCTCACTGCTAAGTGTGCAAGCCCCTGAACCCAGCATTCAGCCCTCTGCAGCCTCTCACCTCACCAGCTCACCTCCTTCCATCCAAACAGCCCTGTATCCTCCCAAGTTTGGACACACCAAATATCACACCCTCTCCCTTTTTGTGTGCCGTGGTTTCTGAGGTTTATCCTGCTAGAAATTCCCTTCCTACTGCCCAGCAAACTCTTGATCATCTTTAAAAGTCACTTCCGCCACTGCCTCCTCCAGGAAGCCCTCCCTCTTCAGCCCAGCTGGAGGGCATTGCTCCATCCTTCCTGCTGGTCCCACTCCTGACATTGAGCCCTAGGGGTTGCTTTCCACCCCCTTCCCCCTGAGCCAAGCTCCCGAGGCCAGACCTTCCACAGCTCTGTCTCTGTTGCCTGCTGGCTGAGCTGGTGAGCCCAGGGCCTAAGGACAGCCATCTGCCATGCCACTGCTCTGATTCTCAGGGGTGTTGGGGCTCAACCCCCGATGGTTGAGCCCTAGAGAAGGTCACAGGTGCACTGCACTCAGACTCGCTGGGCTTTGGCCTCCCTGCAGAATGGACTGCTGTCCACACCATAGCAGCTGTTGCGGTGCCTTTTTGGAGGGGTCAAGCTCTGGCTCAGGACACGGGTGGCACAAGAAGGGCCTCTGCAAGAACTGGCACGGTGACAGGAGCCACCACCAGCTGCAGGTGAGGCCCTTGGGAAGGAGGCAGTCTTGGGGACAACCCCTGGGTAGAAAGGCGGGCTGCTGCTGTGGGCACCCTAACAAGTGAAGGCCCAGGAAGTCTGCTGGCTGTGGCATGGCCTGCATGGCGCTGGGCAAGTTCACAGGGTCTTTGGGCAGGAGCCAAAGAAGTGGGGCCAGGCCCTGACCAGCTGGTCCTCTGGGCCCTCCCTGGTGGCTGGGCAGGCTGACCTCACCTCAAGAGGGCAGCTGACCCTCGGGTAGACTGGCAGCTTGACCAATCCCCTGGGTAGCACAACTAGGTGGGGGTGTCCTGTATTGCCCACAGGGCCCCCTCCCATCATGTCCCCAGGCAGAGGTCCCAGGCTGCTACCCCACCCACCCTAGAGAAGAGGGCACCAAAGGGGAAGCAGAGGGAGACCCCTGGCCAAGGAAAGCCAAACACGACAGGTGGGCAGCAGGCCACATCTGAGGGACAGCTCACCAGTCAGGCACACAACAGAGTTGGGGAGAACTGACAGCATCTCTGTATGGCAAGGGTGGGGGGCGGGTGAGCTTCAGGCTGGGCCCTCCTTGATGTCCACTGCTCACAGAGGGGTTGGCCGGCCAGGAGTGTAGATCAGAGGCACGCAGAGAGTCAAAAGGCCGAGTTGGAGGCCCTTAGTTCCACAGGGAGGCCTGGGAAGGCCCCCAGGGAGACCAGGGTTCCGTGGATAACCGGGTGGCCGGCTGTGCGGAAGAGGCACTACAGGGTGCAGAAGGGTCCCGTGTCATGGCGCTTGGGTCTCCGGACACCCTGGATCACCACTCCAGGCGCCGAGGGGAAGCGTGAGTTATAGCAGTCCTCCACGTAGTAGGCAGCTGGGCCGGGACTGCGGGCTGCAGGGAGAAGGTGGGAGCCCCATCTAGGCTACAGCGCCCGCTGCCGCACAGCGCCCAGCTCCCCCCAGGCTGAGTCCCCACCCCTGCGCGCGGCCTGGCCTCCTCTCTCAGAGCTCTCCTTACAGGAGCTGACCCAGGAGGCGAACGCAGGGGAGCGGCTCATGGAGAAGGCGGGCGGGCGGGGGCTCTGCAGGCGGCACCCAGGCAAGATGTCGTAGGTGTTGGGGCTGGGGAGCTTCTCGCCCCCCGGGGCCTGCGGAGGGGCCTGAAGCTGGGGCTGGGTACGGTAACCCGTACCCCCGGCCCGCGGCAGCCCCGGGCGGGCGGGGGCCTCAAGTGTCTTGGAGGCGGGGCGGCGGCCCCCAAAGCTGGAGGCCCAGAAGGCAGGCCGGCTGAGTGGCTGATAGTCCGCGGGCGATGGCCACTACAGGGAAAGAGGCTGCTGCAGGCCCCTCCCGCCCTCGCAGGCTCCGCCCCCCGGG